AAATTGCTTTTGGACACGAAAGCAATATCGTAGGCACACGGAACTTACTGCTACCACCATCAGAATTTTCAAGTTTGCTTTACGTATAATGCCAGAATATCTCGATAAAGCGACGGATTATAAGGAAAGCTTCAAACACGAGGATAAAAAGCTTTAAACGTAACTCAATTTCCAGGGATCCGTTTTACCGCAAGGATCATGAAATTTGCTTTGTCGAATTCTCGGCTACTTTCGAAGTTAAACGATCCACGTTTCTCGTTATCTCCTAAACAGTGCAGGAAACGTAACGAAGGAGCCAATTTATCCGAAACTTCTTATCGATCGAGTTCGGTTTAAGACTTTGAAAACATGAAATCTCCAACAGGAAAACACGAAGAACGAATAAAATGGCTCTCTCTCCGGTTTCCCAAACGGAGTAAAAAAATTCTCAGAAATAGCTCCCTCTATCCTTCAAGAGAGTACGAAAACAAATCGTCAGTGGAAATTTTTTCTCGCGTCGACACATGTAACAAACGCGTTGCACGCGACAATGGGCGACCGGACGAAGAAACGCAAAAATCCAGCCGGTTGAATCACCCGGATGATTGCAGAAGCCGCTGCAAACCGCTTTAAGTGATACGCCGCGTGTGTGTGAAAACAATAACGGCGTAATTGGGCCAATAATAAAATAATTGTTAGCGCTTGGGTGTTGCTTATGCGCGTGCCTATCCACGTCTCGACCGCGTATCGTCCTGTTCCAATTGTCTTACGCAAGCCCGAGAAATTTTCTCGCTAAATAATAAACCCTGAACGCTTAAATCTTCATCAAACGTCGATGTTCGTGATCCAGTCGGGGGCAACCTTCGCGGAAACCATGCTTGCCATTGTGACGATTGTGGAACAGCACGACGATGATAAATGTCTCATAAACGTAGTTTTCGCTTAACAAGAGTAACTTAACTGACATCTTAATACATTTTTTGGATCTTCTGATTTATTTGAGACGATGATTAGAAGTGGGAGTACGTATTTATAATTCACTATCTGGTAATTTAGAAACTTATTTTTATTATAATTATAAAATTAGAACACGTTAAACCGTCGTGATTTGATTAATTTCTAATTAATTTTTTATTTGTGTTTGAGACGACGATCATATAACGTTGAATCGAAAATGTCCCCTTTTTCATTTGTCGTTTTTATTTCATTAGAATGCCACTAATAAACAGAAATCATCAAGGTAGAAATTAATGAACTTCGAGACAATATTTCAAAGCAAGAGCAACGAATTTATGAACCTCTGAAAATCCAGTCCGACTAAATAATCCGTGCAGATTATCTTCACACGGCTGTTTAACGCACGGTTGAACATGTTCATCAGATTGGAAACGCAAAGACGTGTGTTACAAATGTGCAGGTTTTCCACGAAGACCATTCGCGTTTCCCATGTTCGTTTGCCCGTTGGAAATAAATCGATGGAAACGTGGCTTCAAAGCGTGCCGCCTTCCGCGATTGCGTGGGTGGTTAAGAGCAGAACGATTAATTGAAAAGTCAGGGATCAATGGACACCGCGTGTCTAAAGTTTGCGATCCTCTTCGACCTGCAGGTCTTTGAAAATATCTCAAGTATGAATGCAACGCCGTGCAACTGAGTGTGTGCACAGTTGTGCGTCGTTTTATCTTCGTTGCAATTGTGTTACGTCTGAAACGTGGGATATTTCACCGCGAGAATTCCGTGACGAGAATTCGATGATATTTTTGTAAATTATGAAACTTGTAATTACTTCTATTTATAATAAACTTACTTCTATTTATAATAAAATATATCGTAAATGTTTACCGTGCTAATTCGTTAGCTACCGTCACTGTGTCGTCGCAACTAAGTACTTAACACATTAATTTATATTTGCTCGATCATCGTATCCATGCAAACCGAATTTGATAACTTCTAATTATAATTAGCTATTCCTTTATTTATCTCCACATCAATTTCAATCGCGATAAATAATTCCTACTCAGTTAAGAGTCAGAAACAACAAAGATCCACTGGATATCATTATTGACGCAAATTAGCTGCATTAAATTAAACGATTCCAGGCAATTTCGTTTGTAAATTCGAAGCGAACCGAGAGGCTGTTTCATTCATGAATCTTTGGAGCGAGCGACGACGTAAGAGCGGTTGGACGTTGCACGAAGCAGATAGCTGTGGGAAAGATCGTTCCACCGAGAGCTCGGCGTGTCAATTGACATTTATTCCCGGGGATACGTCACAAATTCTCGAGGAGAAACAGCCCAGCCTGTGTCCAGGCAGACGGTCGTGTATTAATATCTGAATTACGCCAACTGTCGTGGCAGCGGCTGCTTTTGTTCCGTTCCAGCCGCGTCTATCACATCCAGGATAAACTTAAAAATATATCCACGGAAAGATACCGATACACGAACAAGCGGAGAAAGCATAACCGGCAGCTGTTGGCAAATTTACGAGAACGTGATCGTTTTATAGAGCGATCTATCGTTTTCAGGAGTAAATCGTTCTTATACTTGGAAAGTTTATGGCGATGTCTCGGGAATATTATTTTTATTAGATTATATAAAAGACAATATTTTCTGCAATCGAACAACAGATTTTATAGAAAAGTATTCGATGTAATACCAATAACGATCGTACGAGAGAGACCGGGTCTCCAAGCTTAGAATAGAACTCGAAGCTAAGAGTTCTCACAATTTTTCTGTTATATAATTTCGTCTACTATGCGCTGTATTGCGCATCGGACAATGATTATGATGTGTGCAAATATGAGAAAATAAAAGTTGGGTAAAAATAGAGCGAATGGACGAAAGGAACGGACATACGAGGAATGAGAGAAAGCTATAGAGGGTGGCATTGAGCGAAAGAAAAATAAAAGATGAGAAGAAAGATTGAGAAAAGGAAAGAGATTTATGGCAAGTGCGCCGTTCTCGCGGATTCTCAAGATTGCCGATTTACCTTGTGATCGATAAACATGTTCGACTCGCAATCGAGGATGAGCTTTTCAGCATCCGAAAAAACTAAAAAATAGTTGACAAAAATTCGTCGAATGAAAATTAAAACTCAAATCGTTCTCTGCTATCTAGACGTACATAAAATTCTTTGAACGGCAGAATTTTGGAAGCCTTTTAACACGGAACTTCGGATAGCGTCGCGATGTACAGTTATGTGCTTCTTTAAATAACCGAAGGTTGACGCTATCTGTCACTCGAATCTTTCCATCGACAAGGAGACAAAATTCCGTGAAATTTCTCGCGACGATCTCGTCGAAAGAGACGAACGACCCAGATCCAGCGCGTTCTGAACAAAAGCGTTTACGATGGTGGAGCGCGAAGAGCTGCGCTTTTGAGAATTCATTGGTGATGAGTTTTCGAAGAACTTGGTGTCACGGAACGGACAAAGGGAATGCTGGAACAGAACACGCCAAGTAGAATGCTCGCCAACCTCGCAACATCGTAGTTTCCCGAAATAATCCAACGCACGACCAAATAAACGAACACCGGATATATCGTATTTGTAAGGGAAGTGGCGCGACCCACGAGCGCTGTTACGCTTTACAAAACGGTTTCCTTCGAGATTTCAATGCCTCGCGAGAGCTTCCACAAATTCCTTCCGCGAATGAAGATTTATCGAAGAACAAGTTACTCCATACTGGCAACTTTGAAAAATAACTCTCTTTCTTTCTTTCGGGTATCGAGTGGAAGGAGTTTTGTTCGCAACATTGTAAAGTTCCTAGGCGAATAAGTAACTCGAGTAACTCTCTCTGTTATACACGCTCGTACATCATATTTCGAGCTCTTATATTCATTTAAATACACGAGAAAGGAAGTTATACAGCCCAAAGTTTTCAATTGTCTTGTCTTATTTTTCAAACCACTTCTACTAACAGATACGACTACGTTAAAAATTCCACTCGTTAATCCCTGAGAAAAAGTTCAACGATAAATTAAAACAACATTCTCTACGCGCAACAAAATCCTCTGAAAAATTTGCAGGCTCACAATCGCGTGACACATTCTCCAAGTAGTCTGCGCTACAAAGAAACGAGGAACTGAACGGAGGGAAGGAGCTCGATTGAAAAGAACTGGGCATCTGAAAATAATCTTTCCACGGATAAGCTGGGAACGCTCGAAACGCGTGGCGTCGGCAAAAGGCTGGACCATGGGTTCGTATAGTCGACGGTCGACGTTAGCATAATTCTCTGTTGATAAACACATAGGCAGTGGAATGGAGACTGTAGGGCTGTGAGATCTGGCACGCTGCCATGGCTGGCAAAACGTCTGAACTACGTCTCCGTAATACGACGCGGCGCCGCGTCATACGTCGCTGGAAAGACGTGTATGCATAATACATTCAGGCGTGAACACACGCGCACGATACCGCTGGATACACAATGCCATCTACGATCTGAAAGCGAAAAATCTGTTAAAACGTGCCTCATTTATGCGGACATAGCGGAGAGCTTTCTTGTTAGTTCACCTCCTCCTTCTCGCTCTTCTCCTTTCGCCGTCGTCTCCTCTTTCCATCTTTCTTTCCTCCCGAGGAACGCTGTTAATCGCGTACGAGACCAGCGCCCCGAGGCACTGTCTGCTCTATACTTTAAAAAAGTTGTAAAACACCTCGAGAAACCATTCGTCAAACAGTCATTGAAATTCTACGTCGGTGGAATAAACGAGAGCTTTGTTTGTTCTACGACACCTGACGATTCCTTAAGAAAGGTGTCTCGTCGCGATCCACGGAATCTGATGACACGAGCGGGCAATATCGGTTATTGTAATCCATCGTTTTATTTTTGCTCTTTGCGTGCAAGATACCTCTGTTTCCTTACACTTTGTAACGTGGATTTCTGCTTTAAGTGACAGTGATGAAGTCTCGTGACTCGTCTCAAACATTAAGCAGTCTACTCTGCGTGTAAAACGTAGAACGTCCAAAAGCCGAAAATAGCGTGTCAAAGTCAGTTAGCACGTAACAGAGGAATATGGAAGGTTACAATGAAAATCGTCAGCGAAGATGGAGAATACACTGCGGACACGTTGGATTAAACAGCAAATTCTGAGGATTAGTGGACAGTCGTGAACAGACCGTGTTGCGTTCCAATCTAACAGCACTGGCTCGCGAGTAAAGGTCGAACTAATTAATTATTGTGAAACAGGCTGCTCAAAAGCCGCTCTGAGGACACAGCGGCAAGTACACACAACCATGTTTGAACGTGTGTTCGATTAAGGAGACAGAGTTCATGGATTTTGAGGGTTGAATTAATTTTGACAATATGGTGTTTGTTGATTTTCAAATTGATGCCTCAAGGTTTACTATTAAAGTTAAATTACTTCTGGGAAGCCTGTTTAATTATTTGATAAATTAAAAGCTCCGTATTTGTAAGAAAATAATCCTTCGACGGAGTAAAATCATTTAATCGGTCGTTTGAGCGGATATGATAAAAGTTTTGGCATAGTTAAGTTAAACAAATAAAGTCATCCCTCTTCCAACAGTAGGAATCTTGTAAACGAGAGTCGTTTGTGAAAGGGGATTCGAACGACATTGTTCTCCACGCCAGGTAGCTTGAATACAGCTAAGAAAGGGTTTCTACCATGCCTAAAGCCACACGTTCTACTTTCTGTTGTTTGAGGGCGCCACGTCTCTCGCATGACACCTCGACAAAAGACACGATATATTGCACGAAACTGCTTCTACTTACCCCTCGACGTAGCTACGAGGAGAACGAATCCGGAGAAACGTTCGCGTGATAAATGTTTTGGTATAATCTGAATCGTATTTCTCCTATCTTACATGCATTTCGCTCGATTCGATTCGAGTTCGTTCAACTCGAAGTCTCGAAGATAGCAAACTAGAACTTCTACTCTATTTCGTAACAAATCCATTTCAAAATTGTAGATACGATCGAAAAATTTGATATATTGACTATTCTGCCGTAATGGAGCAACTTGCTTCCGAGAAAGGTACATGTTTCTAACAGGGATGGGCGTCAACATCCACAGATTTATCTGCTAAATCTACGAACAGAGAAAATATGATGTCGCCCATCGCGTGTACGTTCACGGAACACGTGACCTCAGAGTGCAATCCAACGGCAACACGTACTCTGACACTTTACTCGTCGATATTCCACGATTCAAACTTTCTTTCCCTTTGAAACAACCCGCTCTACCAAGATAATACGCGTGTTTCATTTATACAATTAAGCACGATGTTATTTTTCTGGCTAATTAAAGTCGCTATATTCGCGAACAAGACGAAGGACTACCATGTTCACCACGGTTTGCGATTAAGTCTTAACAAGCAATAACGCTCGAACAAGTTCATTACACGGCGCTTGTCACACGTTAGATGTCCACGTAGATTTCCTCGACGCCTAACGCGTGTCGTTCATAGACAAACGGAACACATGATAGAGCGAAAGGGATGAAGCGAAAGAGGGAACGCGAAAGAGGAATCGGTAGATCGAGAGAGAAGGAAGGTAAGTGCACAAGTCCAGCTCGTGTATGAATCGCAGACAACCGTGCAACGAAATACAACGTGTAGAGTGGGGTTGCGTGATTATCGACCCCTCGTTGCCTCGGCTTTTGTAGCAGGGATGCAGCTGCCCCTTTTACCCCGCCCTGAACAGTTGGGTTTCTCGTCGACGAACTTCAGCCATCCAACAGCTAGAGAGACTACGAGTGGTTCTCATGCGAGCCACTACTGTTCAATGGTAACTAAAAGAGAGAAAGAGACCCTTTCGCGTGTCGTTCATGGTCGTCTCATAATCAGAGAGATGAAGATAATGTTTCGGGGTAGCGTGGAGAATAAAGTACAGTGGAAGCGATAGCCGAAAGAAAGCGGCAATAAAGACGATTTAATGACGGAGATAATTGGTAGTTGATGCATTTGGAGATCGTAGAGTCGACTTGTATTTGGTAATAATTGCAGGTTCGCGAAACTTGTCGGAAAGTTGGTAAGCATTACTTATCGGCAGATACGTTTAATTATCTCGAGGAGCCAGAGTCGCAGGGAACGGGATTAATAACTCTACAACTCCTCTCGTTACCAAAGTACAGTTCGCGAGGATTACGCAACGATAATTTGTCTGGAGAGACGAATTCGCGACAGTGGTGACACGAAACGAGCGATTAAGTTCTGCCTGTGATTCGAAATCGAAGCGATCATTTACATAACTCTCCGCGTTGAGGCTTCTTTCTATCGCCGATCTAACGCTATTGAGAAACACTGACACTCGATAATCAGATCTCGGTGGTTTGGGTAAAAGACCAAGGTGGTCGACCTTGACAATTGCGGCGTTACATCGATATTTTATTTTTGGAGCAGCCATTCTGGATATCTCGACAATGGCGAAAACGTGAATAAGCGTTTCTCTATACGTCTGTCGTTGCTCTACAGTTCACCACGTTACTTGCCCTCGGTTGTCTTTTACTTTCTCAATATTTCACCCACGAAAGAAAACATAAACGAAGGAAACGTAGCTAATTATCCACGAATGATCAGATCCCTAGGGAACCGATTATGCGGCTGCATCGAATTAGGTATAGATACGCCACAAAGAAGCATCCCTCTTCTACCTCCGTGATACGTAATAATTTCCTGATTTCATCAAACGTCCAATTTCTTATGCAAATCCACCGTGATCGTGGATATTGACTATTCGGAGACGACCACGCCTTTGGAAAACGTCCGAACGAAAATAGACGAGCCACGCATGTACGTAAAACGTCAAGGTCCAGAGTTAGAATCTCTTCTCGTTGAAATACCAATCGTTCTCCAATAAAACACTGACTTACGAAACACGGTCGCGTAGAATTATTAAGCGGCTAACCGATCGATAGTTAAAGGACACGCGACGAACCGTAATTTTGCAAAATAAGCCGGAAAAAGTCAACAGCAGGTAGATCAACCGATCGGTAAACGAAACAAAACCTTGAAGGTCGCTTAGTCAGCGCGAAAACGTCTGGAAATCGGTAACGCGATGCCGTCAGTGTATCCAGGCGCCTGGTGGAGTCACGATAGCGTGGTATGTGTAGCACGACGATATCCAACGTTGGACTGGACTGGTTTCTCCGAACCGACATGGTGTTGCGTTGCGTGGACGCGTAACTTGCGGTTACAGCCGTCGCGTCGATAGCCATCGGTCATTTTAAACTTGTTTAACCATCCTCTAAATTAATACAGATGATAATGTGTAGGCGCCAAGTTTCGCGCGTCTTCCATGTTTGTTTTCAAGCCAATGTTCGATTCTTTCAAGTTGAATATCTTCGAGGAATAATTATTCAAATGTAAGAGGAATTATTTATATCGAATAGGAACTATCGTCGTTCTTGCTAAGAAAAGAAGTGGAAAGATACCGGTCTTTCGATCTTGGGGATGACTCGAACCGATAGATAAGAAATCTAGTCAATAGCGAAGAAGTTAAATTCGCAAATAACAGTATCGAGATTGTCTGACAGAAGTTTGGATGCAAAATACGAAGGGACTAATTTTCTTAATTAATCGTTTCATTTCAGAAATTTATCGCGATGCCTGCTGGTGGTGGGCCTCCGCGAAGATCGATCGACCTTGACGCGAAAACCTTTAACAGAGTGGAACTCTGCTCAACGTTTCAACGGATATATTTTTAATGCCGTTAAAATAGAAAATATTCGGTCTTCTGCGCAAATTTATAGTTACGTTAACGACTCAGCACAATCGTGTGAGATTGGTGAAAACTACTCAGAGAAACCTTAGTCGATTGCTCCAGGATATGTAAATTATGGGGTATTATGTATGCACGCGCATGCGTGTACGTATGTGTGTGCATGTTTTGAACAGGTAGCTGGATTATCGCTTGCAAAATTTCTCTCGTATAACGCGACATGCATATCCGAGCATAATCGTAAATGAAGCAACTCTCTCGCGTTCACTTGTACGTTTAACCTTTTGGAGTTTAACACGTGCGGAGCAAAAAACTAAATAAAAACAAGCACTTACCATAGTCCAGCGATGGTTGTTGATGCTGCGCGTATTGCGACGTATTATTGGCCGGTGTAACTCGGAAACGATCCATTCTTCGTTATCCTCAACGAACACCACCACCAAAACAACACCAAACAATCTCTTCACCTCCGGTTGCTCGATGCGCACACCGTTTATTCTCGATTAACGCGAACCGCGCAATAAGTTAACCGGGGATGCTGGTTAACAACGAAACACCCGCACTTTCGTTTACGATGATTGGTGAACGCGTTCTCCATTCGCCGGTGCGGTGTTACAGGCTTCTGGTAGCCGTGCTGTGACTGTGTGCCACTGACAACACCACGAGAAACAGACAGACTACCAGACACAGAGCGTGCAAGAGGGACAATAAAAGAGCGAGTACGAAAGGGAGGGAGAACGTAGCAACTACAAATGATCGTAGGTGGGAAAGAAACAGAAATTGCAGAAACGAGAGTGTGCGTTCGTGTGTTCTCTATCGAATGTCTTTATCACACCTACGGATGTGTGTACGCCACAGCCGCGCCTCGCGTCTCGTGTCTCGCACGTTTTGTCGAGCCGCTCGGTGCTGAATCCCGGACGAGCGTGCAACGCGTGCTGTATGCGATAACGCCGCCTCTGCTCGCCCATAAACTCGCCAACGGAGGGGTACACTACTCTCCACGGATCCGCGTGTTAGGACACGTCTCTATGTGTATCCTTATTTCTGTCTTTCTTCCGCTTCTTCGTGAGCAACGACCGCACTCCGTTTGGGATACCGTCTGTGCCTGCTGCGCTGACACAAGGACTCTACTCGTGACTTCAGTCTGATCGGCTGTTTTATATGTGTAAGATACTCACGCGTGTGTGCACGCGTATACGCCAGGGGGCCCCTCGATAGAACGCTTTTGCCGACTGTCGAGCGCCGCAACCAGAGCACCCACGTGTGCGTGCATGCAACCGGCTTTCCCCAGGATCGTACCAATCGTGAAACTACCCTCTTTAGTCCGCCATTGGCCTTCATCGAACGATGGTAGGAGGGGCGTTACGTTGCCAGGGCACTGAAAACCTGAAAGATATTAACATGTTAGTTTCTTGTACTGGGAAGGTTGTTATGTTAATAAATAAAGTTGTAAATATATAATCAAAATTTTGAGATAGAACTTTCCGACCAAACTATAATTTGGAACAAAGTATATGACTACTCCGAATCAATATGTGGAGCGGTAATTAGTAGTATTTGTTAAAGAGCAATTCGAAAGATCACGTTTGGATAAGATAAAAAGCAGAGTATAAACGATAAGGTTATACGACCTTCGTTATTATAAAAAAGAGTCGTAAGATCGTTCTGAGATGGTTTAAACGTGATAAAAGTAGAGGAAAGTCGAATGTTATCCTACGTTTCTTGGCTACGCTCCAAAATCTTCTTTCTCTAGAATTATATCACTCCTGCAAATTACCGGAATTCAATTAATTTAATCATAACCAATTCAGAACGAAATTATTAATCTCCGACATACAGCTACAACTGCGATACAGTTTGTCATATACCAACTATCATATACTCGAAACTTTTGACAAAGCGTGCGCGACAATAAATCGTGGAGTTATTGCCACGAACGATACATGAGCGTGGCCACGTGTATGCGTGTATCCGCACCGGCTTTTTCCAGGACCGTAACTACATCACGATATGCCATCCTCCTTTGTCAATTTCGCGCTTTGACAAAGAAGATCCCAAAGAGAATTTCTCGAGTTTCGATACTCGTGGTCAATGTCCCTAACGAAAATGAGCCACTTTCATTTCCGGCCTTTATGTATACAGATACGTATTTACAATTCAAATGGATATGCAGCGATGGTTTCGCCGCAGGAAAACCGAAAAGGACTTTGGCGCGTGAGTATTGATTATCAGGGAATCTCTTTAAGTGCACCTCGGAATACTTAAACGGGTAATTACCAATTGGATTTTTATCTGCCAGATATTGAAGTGATTATCGAGCGTGTTAACACTCAGAATCGATCGATGATCGAAAAATGATCATAACGCATAAATTCTGCAAAGAGCAAAATTGATATCTGATTATTCAAAGGTACATACATATATTCATATATACGCTCCCATGAATCACGTGAATGCATTATACATTGTATGCAGGCATGAGTATCCTGTATTTCAGAGTCACGCTGTTATGCTACGGTGATAACACAACTGTAACCGAATTGCTACATTTTCCTCCACAATACGGTGAGTAATCACACAACTTCATCGGTTGCCTGTATCCTGTTCTAGGTGGCAGCAGGAAACGGAAGCCTCTCCTTCGGGAAAATTCCACTGCGCGCACTGTTTTGCATCTCGAATCCTTCCCAAAGGGTTAACGATACACAGACAGACAATCTTGATTTGCAAAATAAAGCCAAACTATGAAAATGGAAGTTACTATCTATCTGACACGCGCATTATGTTTTGTATCGCTTCGTTCAACATCGTAAATTACAACATGCTGTTTATTCTAAATTGCTGAATTCTTATCGGACGCAATTTGGTCTTTCTTTGTGTCGTACAATTTAATTACCCATTGAAATGTTACTTCAATTTAGCGGCATTTCAACGAGACGATACCGTGAATGTTGCTAGTGATATACGGTCCTTGAAAGAGCAACATGACGTTGAAGGGCGTGTAGATTTCAAAGGTTGTGCATATCACGAACATTTGATTGAGAGTCTCGGAAATTTGTTCTACTATCAACGGCAAGAAAAAGCTATTCTGCGTTAATTGAAAAACTATCCAACGACCGATATTCAAGAAGCGTCTCTTCTTTATAAAGACTAACACAGAGAGAAATAGAAGTGTAACTGAAGGTGGACTGTGCTTCTATGTGCACGTTGCGATGTATTTTATTTTTCGCATAACTATCTTCCTCTGTAAGGAGGTCACGATTTACGACTTTAAACTCGACGTTGTAAAATATAAGGAGCTCGTGACAAGTAGTTGGATATTAGCAAACCTAGGATCCGGCATCATACGTCCGTAAGCCATTTTAATCGAAAGAAAAATCGCATCAGCATTTCAAATGCATGGAGATCGGTAAAGTGCGCTACTTTAATGCAGAAGCTAGGCTTAAGCTAGAATCCGTGAAGTCCCCGGCTTTCGCGTATTTTCGCGTTCCATTGATAATGCAAATCCATTGTCACTATCGTTGCTTTTGTTCGTCTCGACAATCTATATCTATATATATATATACATAGATACAGATATATATGTATATACATATATAAGTGCCCCATGTGCGACATATTTTCAAAAGCGCAGCAGATTCGAGTGCCGCAGATAGCTTATCGATTACTCGGTTTCAATGCATTAATTCAATGTCCAAATATCTATTGCATCCTTAACTTAAATAGCGAAAAATGTTAAAATCAAGGACAATGTACATGTTTGGTGATAATAAAACGTAAAATAAAGATGTTGAAAGGAATCAGAGGTCAGTGAAACGTCGGGAATTTTCCGGTCCTTGTTCACTTAAGGTCGGCGAGCTTCTGTTCGGCGTATTCCGAACGAATACAAGAGATTCGAAGGGAGGCACAAACAGGAATTGGCTGGTCGATGCTCCTTAACGTTCCAGATACAGTGTAATGCAGGGGAAGACGACACATCTGTGCTGTTGTGCGTGAATTTTTTTCGGAGCCACCGAGAAAACACATTTCTCTTTCTCTCTCTGTTCCGCTCGACGTTTTACCGAAACAGCTGATCGTTTGCCCCTTTAATTGCATCGCGGCTGGGTTCGTCGACGCCGCGGTAAGTTGCTGGATATTTCAATAAAAATTCGCCATAGTGTATGCTCATTTAGTGGGGCAATCTTGTACGGTAAAGCGTGTCTGTGAATACGGTCGAGTATCTCGTTCCTCGGTGTACGGTAAGTGCTACTACTTCAAGCGTCTTTTGTAGGTTAGGAAGCGCCTTTCGCCTTTAAAGCTCCATACACAATGTTTCCCTGGATCGTCTGTGTATGTAGAAGTTACAGATGCCATGGAATCCTATTCCGACAGAAATAATTTTCTATCTATAAAACTTGTGATTTTGTTAGTGTAATTATTGATAATGCCATCGTGTTTGCTCGTGAAATTCGATTTATTATAAAGCGACTGAGCTTTTTTGTTCCATTAGGTTCCATTACTTTCTCAGTTGCAGAGAATTAACGAAGTAAATCGTCTTTTTAGATTCGATATCGAGTGCTTTTTCTTTTTAATTAGATGCAGTCGAAAATATTATGGCTCAATTTTTTGATATTTATTGTAAGTATTTCGAAACAGGATAGAGTTTAGTTAAATACAATAAAATTAGAAATTAAGTGTAAATTAATGTTAGTTCGAATCTAAAGCTACAAATATAATTTATAATTTTTCACTCTACATATTTCAAAATATTCAGGTACGCTGCTGTTATTTAAATTTTTCGTAATTAATTTGTTGATATAGAAAAAAAATTTGTTACCTGCTCAGCGTTACAAAGAGAGTATCTTGGAAAGTGTGAAATAAAATTTTCAATGTTTTAATGTAAGTGGAAAATGATAAATTTATATTCGACCGCATTCGTAACACGCGCCTCTTCGAACGACGCGTCGCCATGACAGGGCAGCTGGCGAATAAACGTTGGACCGGGGGAACGAAAGACATGTATCCACCATAACGGCTTGGCAGGGCTTGGAGTTCTGTGACGTCTTCAATGGCTGCCGCCGTATTGCTTATGCATGTAACGGAGCGCGGTACTCTCACAAACCGCGTTCCGTACTGGTTTACGACGTAGTGTTTACTATTTATCGTTAGAATATTCTATCAGGCTGTGAGCCAACGTGCAAACCATGGGCTCGAAGAAGCATAAAAAGCACAAGCGCGAAAGGCACGAAGGTGAGGATCAGGACTAAATCCGGTGTATCTCGATCGTTTTATCATTTCTGATCACTTTTAATTATTCCTTAACATCATCAATGGCATCATAGGTCGCCACATTATTATGTTCC